CCTCATTACCCTGTTTTTGTACCATAATTTACATGGCAAAACTGAACAAAATTTACCCCTTAGGATTTCTGAAAAACAAAGTAAGAACTTGGTGTTCCCTGGGTGGTACTCTAAAATAGTATTGGGTTATATTCCAACCTATTAAAAATGTGACAATAAGACACTTATATGTTGTTAACAAAGCAGAAATCAATGTCCCATATGCCATTCAAAATTGTTAATAACAGAAAACAGCCACGAATAACATTTTATGAGCAACTGTTATTGATTTATTTTTTACAGTCATAAAAACTTATAAAATAGGAACAATGAAGCTAATTAAATGAATTTCTTCTTACTCATAAAACTGACAACTGGAAATCTCTGATTGACTGCAGTTGATGTCTATAAGCACAGCTAATTTAGAGTTTGCACCTCAGTACTCTAGATTTAGTTGTTCTTGGATCAAATGTAGTTTCACTTTCCAATGACGACTTTGTGGTTTTGTAAAATCTGAGCTTACCTTGAGATGATGTTGAGATCTGAAACTCCTCAGCAGACATCATCAGATTAGAAAGGTCTGTGTAATGTATTTGGGAATATCTGATAACACCAAGGTTTACTCTGGAATAAAATAATGATATTGATATAATGATATTATATTTTATTATGAGATGTTTGCATATAAACACCATAATTTCATTATGGCAATTGAAGTATGTGTAGCATAAATGTTTTATAACTGCGATGTTGCTCTTTATTTGAGAACACACGGAAACCGCAGTCCCATTTAACCATATAAATCTCTTCCAAAATACTTTCCTGGCATTAGTGGTCTTTCAGCATTCTTGCAGCATGGTATTGAGACACAGCTCTCAACATGTCTGATGTCACACCAACTCAGTCAGGGAATGCTGGGATATCTGAATGAGCTCCAATTGGACAGCAGAGTCTCGGGAACAGCTTGTGCTTGGATTGCTTTGATTCACCTCAGGACTGACACTAAAGATAGAAATCGACTTTATCTGTAGATATTTTTTTAAATATATCGCAAAAATACTTTGTGGTGAGAAGACTGGCAGCTTTGTCAGTGTTATGGAAGCTTTCTGCCAACATGCTGGAATTTGGGGCATGAGTGTGCTTTTTGTAAACAGACTGAAAGTGAACATTTAATTGGACATTTGCAAATGGCAAACATAAAAAGAGCATTATATATTATGCTAATTATTCACTTATATTATTAACCATATTGACATAATAGCATTACGCAGTTGCTGCAGATTTCAGCACATCCATGATGCGATTCCACCACATCCTGTTCCACCATATCACAGAAGGTGCTCTTTTGGATTGAGATCTTGTGGCTGTGGAGGCCATCTGAGAACAGTGAACTCATTGTCATGTTTAGGAACCAGTCTGAGATGTTTCACGCTTTATGACATGGTGCTTTATCCTGCTGGAAGTAGCCATCAGAAGATGGGTACACTGTGGTCATAAAGGGACAGACATAGTCAGCAACATTACTTAAGTAGGCTGTGGCATTGACACGCTGCTCAATTGGTACTAATGGGCCCAAAGTGTGCCAAGAAAATACCATTACACCATCATCACCAGTCTGAACCATTGATACAAGGCAGGATGTATCCATGCTTTCATGTTGTTGACACCAAATTCTGACCCTACTATCCGAATGTTGCAGCAGAGATGGAGACTCATCAGACCAGGCAACATTTTCTTAATCCTCAATTGTCAAATTTTGGTGAGCCTGTGTGAATTGTAGCCTCAGTTTTATGTCCTTATCTGACAGGAGTGGTACCCGGTGTGGTCTCCTGCTGCTGTAGCCCATCCGCCTCAAGGTTGGATGTGTTGTGCATTCAGAGATGCTCTTCTGCATACCTCGGTTTACACTAGTAGTTATTTGAGTTACTGTTGCCTTTCTATCGGCTCAAACCAGTCTGGCCATTCTCCTCTGACCTTTGGCATCAACAAGGCATTTGTGCCCACTACCGCTGTAAACCCTAAAGATGGCTGTGCATGAAAATCCCAGTAGATCAGCAGTTTCTGAAATACTCATATTAGTCCGTCTGGCACCAACAATCATGCCTCGTTCAAAGTCATTTAAATCACCTTTCTTCCCCATTCTGATGCTCGGTTTGGACTACAGCAGATCGTCTTGACCATGTCAACATGCCTAAATGCATTGAGTTACTGCCATGTGATTGGCTGATTATAAATCTGCGTTAACGAGCAGTTAGACAGGTGTACCTAATAAAGTGGCCGGTGAGTGTATGTATATGTGATATTGCTTTTTTTAAATAGAGCAAAATAATATTGTCTTAGAATACATAATACATAATGTCTGCATGTGTTTAAAGGTATATCTAGTTAACAGGTTGTATAATAACACAAAGTTTTATAATGATATGGGTGTGACCTAGTTGTACTCTATTAAAGTAGTTTACTGGGACACACCTTGTTTAAAATGTTTGTTTAAAAAATAAACATGGCGTCTTGAAGCATCATTTGTTTGCATTTTGTGTGTAAATGTACATTTTTGACCAACAATTTCCACGTTTGATGGCATTTCTAGTGAAAAGTTTGTATTATAGTAAGCAAATATTTATTTTCTCACCAAAGTTTTGTGAAATTTTGTTTCTTAACACTGTCGCTACTGGCTTGCTTGGTTTGGGACTTATCGAGCTGTGCATCAATGGATTTGCTCTTCAGTGTTTGGAGTTTCAGCAATGAAATTTTAACCACACTGAACTGGAACCAACTCTGAAAACTGGACTGAAACTGTTTCAATTAACTAGAACTTCTATGCTAAGCTGCTTTGACACAATCTACATTGTAAACGTGCTATAGAAATAATCATGAATTGAATTAAATTAAACCAAACTTCTCTGTTTTAATTACATGATTAAATTGCTATTCTGTCTGAAATCAGTTTCATGAGGTGCCTTTGTATGTAAATGCTACCTCCAGAGTCATTCCCAAAGCTTACAGACACAGCCTATGTATGTATATGTACAGATTATATATAATTATTCACATATTTTTACTGTTACACAATGTCCTTGCATACAGTACTGGCTTTACCTTAAATTTTTCAGTCTGAGACTTAGCAACCCATGCTCATTCGTCTCGTTAAAGCCTGATTTCAAAATAATTGTGTGCTTGTTACAAGCAAAAAAAAAAAAGTGAGACACAGTTTTGCCTAATCCTGTCTTGCGCATAGCTATAAACCCTTCATAATACCTTTGTGAAGAACTCTGGCTGTCTTTACTCGGTCAAACTGCTAATCTGATTTTAATGAATTTCCGGTATTCAGAGGATTGTGTTTGAGGCTCCAGCAGCAAGTTTGATCCAGTTAAACCCTTATGCCACGCTTGTGTGATTTACATGACAACACTTAGTAGTGCTCAACTGCTTCAAACCTGCCTCCAAGTTTCTAAGATCCAAGAAATCTGATAGCAGAGAAAGAAAAGGTCGCCACCTCCACGTCTGAAGAACTTTCCATTTAAGTGTGGCATGACTGGAAGCGGCTGCTTCTGTATCTGTTCAGATGAAGCTCCTAAGAAAGAAATGTAGGTCACGATTCACAGTAGATGAATTTATAGATCATACTCTGTGTTCAGGAACAAATTGAAACTGAAGCCTCTCAAGATGCAAGTAATTAGAAGTACTAAAACAACAGTCATGCTGCTATTTTAGGAAACTTTTTGTTACAGAGTCTAGTTCATCTGATACTATTTGTTATCAAAAGCTAATTTTTAATATACATATTATTTGTTGAAATTCTGAATTCTGATTGGCTTGAGGGTGTGCCATGAAGTAGTTTTATTCAGAAGTAGTTCCAGTAAGTTTTGTTCACAGTTTATAATCAATGTGCTTTCCACAAACATTAGTAGTAGTAACCATTGTAACCCAGTAACAGTTGCCAGTCTTCATTCATCTGTGTGATCTCAGGGATGCTGACGTATGCTTCGCTTACAAACACAAGGGGATTAACCAAATCTTCCAAAAAATTTGTGAAGATGTAGCTAACACATGTTACTATGAGCTATTAGATACGCCCGTGTCATTTTCAGCCTCACACATGACCTCTCTTTTGCACTCTCTCTCGAAGTCTGCCTGTGTACAGCTCAAAGTGGGGACTAGGAGATCTAGCATATCATAACTGGCTGTTATTCGGTCAAATATTGCAGGACTAGCTTTAGCTTGGCAAATGACCACAGAATGAGAGAGAAATCAATGGTTTGCCATGCACTTTGTTGAGGCAACCACCCTCTCCTTTGGGTCAAGTGGTTCTGTGACTCCATATTGTGCTATTATTTTATTGTTTGTTTATTTTAATAGGAGAGTGAGACAAAAAAACTTTTGAGGAATCCAGGTTTCTTTCATTTTTATTGTAGAACTATTTTTTGTTTGTTTACAATTTTTTTTTAGCTTTAATTAGGTTTTGTTTTTGGTTTATGCTTCATTTTAATTAAATTTGTTTACTTTTTCAGGGGAGAATGTATTTTTCTTTTATTTAATTTTTGTTTTTGTTTTTTTGGATTCGTTTTGCTTTTGTTTTACCCTTTGTTTTATTTTGTTACTTTTATTTTGTAACTTATTTATTTTTTTACTACACAATACATTTTTTATACTATATAAACATTCCAAATATTGTGAGTCCTCTTCTAAAACCCTGCAAAAAAAATCCATTAAAAAAGTCTAAACTTGTGTTCTAGTTTATAGTCGGTTACTGCACTTCCTAGTTGCATCTTTTTTTATTTATTTTGCGAGAAAACCACCATATTTCCTTCTGGAATCCACGAAAGTGGCTTCAAGCATTTAGATTAATTTTCATCAAATGAACTCCTCAGAACAGGCTGTTCTCGTAGAGCTTGCGAACACAGATCCCAGTTGTTCTTTTGCAATTGCATGTATTTTTGCCATTAAGTTGCGCTCGCTCTGGGTTACATAACACATGTCAGTGTGTGTGAGTATGATAGATTATCCTGCGGTGGGCCTCTTCAGCTCTGCCACCAGTCACATTTTATGGATTGCTCTCCTTGTTGCTCAACACTTGGGGAAAGTGTGCAGTACTTCCACTGGAGACGGAGCAGCTGTATGAACTTATTGACTGGAGAGCTGACGCCCATTTTCAGTACAGTATGTTTTGACTCTTGGCTGTTAGGAATCACAATGTGCTTTTCATCCATAGTTGCGGTTCAGAATACAGTGTTGCTTGCAGTGTCATTAAATACATACTGAGGCTTTTTTAGTGCTTGGCTTGATGTTTAAGTGAATATGTGTCAGTGTCTACACATATTTTAGGCTCTTAAATCACTTGGCAGCTGTTATCTTTCTTTATAAAATACAGTATGTGCTGGTTTGTGTCTTGGAGTTTAGAAAAGGGACAGAATGTTTGGCTTGCTTCAAAACATCCATATCTGGTGGAAAATATCTGGAAGATGGCCAGTTAATGAAGTGTTAGCTTTATTAATCACTAATGAATTTATGATCATCCCTGGAAATGAATTTTGTGGGAAAATGTATTTTAAACAAAATGTTCTTTAATACAATCTATAAACCGTGTCCGACAAAATGTTGTGACATTAGGACATTATAATAATAAGAATCCATAAAGGCATTTGCACTCTCAAAATCATTTGTGTGTGTGTGTGTGTGTGTGTGTGTGTATAAATAAATAAATAAATATATATATATATATATATATATATATATATATATATATATATATATATATATATATATATATATATATATATATATATATATATATGACAAAATGAAGATATTTTGACAAATGCTCATGCTGCACTCTTTAATTTGTCAATAAGATTTAATTGTTAAAAAATGTCAACAGCTGGCATATTCTTAATGATGTTGCTGTTGTTTGAAATAAAATATACCACTGAATTATGGCCAAACTAAAACTGTAAAACAAATTTAGTGCAAATAAATAGGACTTATGTTTTAAATTTTTATATTTTAAATCATTATATTTTTAAATAATTTTAAATAAATGTCATCTACATTATACATGTACTTATAGTTGAGCAAAAATGTAAGCAAAACATTTTATTTGGATCTTTTAGTTTTAATAATATTTATATAATTTTCATATATTGATATTATTACTTTTTTTTCTTTGTGTTTGTTTTAATTTGCATTTTTGGCTTGTTTTTTATTGATTAATTTAAATTTAGTTAGGTTTTGCTATTTTTGTTCGACCTAAAATTATTTAGCTACAATTTACTTTAAGCAATATCCGTATCAATAGAATATAATAAATATGGTTACTAATGCAGTGAGTAAAATAAGCAGTGGCGAATTTAAATATAGGTTATATGGGCAATCGATACACTTTTATTTGTATGTTTGGATTGTTTGGGGTTTTACAAAAAATCTGGGTCAATTTTATGTCAACAGCTCCTTCAGACATTTATTTAAAGGTTCAGGACACCCTGGAGAACTTTTTTTTTTTTATATTAACAGATGTGTGTGTGTTGAGCATCAGTTAAGACAATGTTAGCACCTGTCAGCTTTAATTGTAGGGAAAACTGGATAATTTTGAGCTTTTGTCAGCTAATTTCAGCTTCCGGGTTTAAAATGATTTTTGGGGCGGGATCAAAATCGGCGACGTAGCGCAGTACTGCAAGTGCAATGATGACGCGTCTGTTTCTCATTATTATTCATAGCGGAGTTTTCTTATCCTATGAGAAGAGCCGGCTGCTTAATTATTCATGAGACCTGCCAGACCTGCCAGAGTCAAGCCCGAGCTGTGAGACACATCACGGACCCACGGCAGTATTTAGCCGTTCATGAAGGCTCATATGCATTTGTTTCCATGATCCACGGGGTTTGTTGCCTGTTTTCCCCCGCGATCTTGTCAGGGCCGATCATACAGCAAAGCTGTGTGTGTGCTGCAAGCATTTTTGTTGGGAGAGCAGCACGAGAATTAGAGAATGGCAGACGCTGTCTTTTATCAGGAGTTCGTTCACATTCAGACACATCACTGTGCTGCTGTGTTTGCCTAAATCCTCCAGATTACCAGCAGGGCTAATAGTTAAAATAGACAGGTCAGGAGACCTGCTGCACTGAGTCTGCTGGATACGGGGATTGAGGGAGAAGTCCTCATTTATAGGGTTTACATGAACACACTTATCTTTATAATGATATAAATTGTGGTTATGTGTATATGAAATTACGAATAACAAATGTAGCAGGGCATAAAATCACTGTTCATTTCTTTACATTTTAACTTTGTAAACTATAAACTCATGCGTCTCCTCACGGTTTGTCTCATTTTGTGCAAGTGGTGCTCGCTGCAGAGAGCTAGCTTCGTTCGCTCACGTTCTTCCCTGCTGGCTACGCCCACTCCTGTTCGATGCTCGCGGAGCTCCACGCCCATTAATCATGCATCTTTTGAAAAAATTCTGAAGTAGACTTTAACCGAAAGTGGGGGGTGTCGTGGCCCTTTAACAGGAGAAATCATGCGGTGTTCAATACTTACATTACCCACTTGTCATGGGTAAAATAAGTCTTGTTGTCAATTCCAGTTGTAAGAGCAACAAATAATAACTTTACTTCTAGTTGATCATGTGGAAAAGTGACAGAAGGTGCATCCCAATCATCACAAATACTCCAGAAGACCAATTGGAACCCGCATGGACAAAGATTCTCAAAGAAATCAGTCAAGTTTGGTGAAGGAAAAATCATGGTTTGGGGTTACATTCAGTTTGAGGGCATGTGAGAGATCTGCAGAGTAGATGGCAACATCAACAGCCTGAGGTATCAAGACATTTGTGCTGCTCATTACATTACAAACCACAGGAGAGGGCAAATTCTTCATCAGGATAGTGCTCCTTTTAATACTTCAGTCTCTACATTAAAGTTCCTGAAAGCAAAGGAGGTCAAGGTGCTCCATGATTGGCCAGACCAGTCACCAGACATGAACATTGGAGGAGGTATTGAAGATGAATCCAAAGAATCTTGATGAACTCTGGAAGTCCTGCAAGAATGCTTTCTTTGCCATTTCAGATGACTTTATTAATAAGTTATTTGAGTCATTGCAGAGATGTATGGATGCAGTCGTCCAAGCTCATGGGAGTCATAGACAATATTAATTCTTTATTCAACTGCACCACGACTATATATTCTATACTGTACATTATTTCTGTTAAGCAAAGTCAGACCTTACTGTCAGACCTTAATTAAATAATTAAAAATCAAGACATGATCATATTTTATTTTGGTAGAATAAGCCTAATCTTGAGGCCTTTGCCTTTTATATAAGCTGCTTCTGATACCAAATGATCAACTAGAAGTCAAGTTATTATTTGTTGTTCCTAAAACTTGAATAGGCGATAAGACTTTTGTCAGGTAGTGAATATTGTTCATCCCTAAAGACTATACAACATCTAAAATATACACGCTACAACTTTCCTCAAATGAATAACTGTATTTATTCTCCCCACAGATAAACAACACAACTGAACACTGTGAATCATCAGCATTCGCAGACGGACCAGATTCATTTAAGGAGACATTTCAAATTAATAAAACGAAGCAACCAACGAAGCTGTCTTCATACCGGATCAGCAATGGTTTTGAAAAAGCTTCTGCGTTTCGGGAAACAGCTGCTGAGAGTAAAGGTTGTAAACTGCAACTCAGAGGAATCGCGACTGTCCCGATGTCTGAACACTTTTGACCTGGTGGCTCTTGGTGTGGGCAGTACATTAGGAGCAGGGGTTTATGTCCTGGCCGGAGCTGTGGCTCGAGAAAACGCCGGACCGGCCATTGTGCTGTCGTTTCTCATCGCCGCTCTGGCTTCAGTGCTCGCTGGTCTCTGTTATGCAGAGTTTGGAGCCAGAGTGCCCAAAACAGGATCAGCGTACCTGTACAGCTACGTGACTGTAGGAGAGCTGTGGGCCTTTATAACTGGCTGGAACCTGATTCTTTCATATGTTATAGGTGAGAAGATGTTTAATATTGCTATTGGGTTTCCACTAAAATAAGCTGAAATATGTTTTAACTACATTGTTGAGAACAAATCAGGCAATGATGGTGGTAGATGTTGTGATAATTGTTAAAGTTTTTATCACACAACATTAAACTAAATTACAAATCAGTTACTTTAACATGTACAGAAAAAAACAAAGTAATGGTTTTGCATATTGCTTTATTGCACATGAATGTTCTGGAAAAACATATGATTCAACAAATTACATTGCCAAAGTAGTACATTTTGGAATTTATGAATTTCTATGTCATATTTTGTGACGTGTTGTAGGTCAGATTAACATGAAAATATGTAATTGAGGTCAGAATTGTTAGCCCCTCTTTGAATTTTTTCTTATTTTTTAAATATTTCCCAAATGATGTTTAACAGAGCTAGGAAATTATCACAGTATGTCTTATAATATTTTTTCTTCTGGAGAAAGTCTTATTTGTTTTATTTCGGCTAGAATAAAAGCAGTTTTACATTTTTAAAAAAACATTTTAACATCAAAAATTTGCCCCTTTAAGCTAAATCTTTTTTCTGATAGTCTACGGAACAAACCATCGATTTACAATAACTTAAATGTCACTTTAAGCTGAATAGAATTGTCTTAAAAATATTTAGTTAAATTTTATTTACTGTCATCATGGAAAAGATAAATTAATCAGTTATTAGAAATGAGTTATTAAAACTAGTATGTTTAGAAATGTGTAGAAAAAATCTTCTCTCCATTAAACAGAAATTGGGGAAGAAAATATACGGGGGCTATGTACGTTTAAAAGTAAATCACTTTTTAAATGTACAAATACAGCGGTACAATAGAGCATAATGCGACAGTCTGAATATAGTTAAAAGGTACTCTAAAAGCTTAAATGATTAATAATTAGTTGCTGCATTGTAAAGCATTTTTATTATCACAGTATATTATATTAATGAATATCGGCAAATGACAAGACCCGATATTACCATATTAATGTTAAATTAGTATATTCTTATTTTACATTTTGAAGATACATTATCTTTAGTTTCTAAAATAAAACACAATTGTTTTTTACAGTTTATTATACATATATCTCATAATAATAACATTAAAGTGGTCTGTTCTTTTTTAAAGAGTTATTTTATGTTTATTTAGTTTATTTCAAGCCACCTTTTCTGTTTTTCAGCCAGTTTCTTGAACCTTTTGCTTTTATGAGCAAACACAAAGAATAGACAGACAGACTGACAATCTGATGATTGATTGATTGATTGATTGATTGATTGACTGACTGACTGACTGATTGATTGATTGATTGATTGATTGATTGATTGATTGATTGATTGATTGATTGATTGATTGAATGATTGATTGATGGATTGATGGATTGATTGATTGATTGATTGATTGATTGATTGATTGAATGATTTATTTCATATAAATTGGCACAAAATTGTAATTGGCTCAAAAAAAGGTAATGTATAATGAAAGTATTTTTCCATTTCTCTTGTATTTCTTCTGAGGTACCTCAAGTGTTGCCCGAGCTTGGAGTGCCACATTTGATGAGTTGATTGGAAAACATATTGAGCATTTCTGCCGCCAGTACATGTCCATGAATGCGCCGGGCGTCCTGGCGGAGTATCCAGATATGTTTTCTGTTTTCATCATCCTCACACTCACAGGTAAATAAACACACAAAGAAGTGTTCATGTTAAACAGTGATTGCGAAACACTGCCATTCATTCTGAAAATTAAAGCCCTTGAATGTCAATATTTAGCAATTTTGCGTTTGTGTTGACTTTTGCTCCGTAGTGTTTTGATCTACGTTTTGTTTGCTGTAGGCCTGCTGGCCTTTGGGGTGAAGGAATCAGCCATGGTCAATAAAGTGTTCACCTGCATCAACATTCTGGTGCTGCTGTTCATGGTCGTCTCTGGACTAGTCAAAGGGACTCTGAAGAACTGGCACCTGGACCCCGATGAGATCCTCAATGCAACCAACTCCACCCTTAAGTGAGTCAAGTTCTTTATGAAACTATTTAGGAAATTTATGTTAATATCCTTTCAGATGTGCAACTGCAATTAAATTATATAGCATTTCATTTAAACTTTTTTGTTTTTTATAAAAATATCTCAAGGCCACCAAGACTGATCAATCAAACAGTAGCAAGCATTACATTTATTTAATTGAGCATACAGTAATGTATAATAATAATAATAATTATAAGAAGAAGAAAAAGAACATTTTATTATAGTTTAAATGCATGTATGCTATTTTAATTAATTTAAAAATATAATTTATTCCTTGGATTATAATGATAATGTATAAATCATCCTTCAGAAATAATTATATACTTATTTAGTGACCAAAAAGCATTTCTTATCATTATCAGTGTTGATTTAAGTTGAAAACAGTTGTTTTACTTTTTATTTTAAGATTATTTATTATAAGTTCTAAGAACAGGACTTATTTAAAAAAAAAATTTAAATCTCATGTAGCATTATAAATGTTTTATTGCCATGTTTGATCAGTTTAACCCTTTATTTGATGAAGAAACATTTATTGTAACTTCACTGATATATATTTCAATATTTATTTTAGTATTTTTTTAAGTCAAAAATGTTCAAAGTCTTATAACAACCCCCAGTAACACGCCAGGGTTTTTTCTGATTAGTTTTTTCAATGAGTGCCCTAAAAAGGGTTAGATGGATTTTGCTAAATAAAAGTATTAACTCTGCACTGTAAAAATGCAGGGCTGTAGTAACCCATCGTTGGGTCAAATAGAGGAATAAAAAAAAAAACGCAAAATAGGTTAATAAAATTCATATTACACATTTTGAGCCAACGGTTATGTTTAACCACACTTAAAAATATATTTGCTGCTTGTTCAAACTACTTATTTAATATGAGCTGAATCAACACAGTTCTTGACATTTTTTTGGGGTAGTGGGGCGGTCGGGCAGCCTAATTGTTTTATGTTCAATCCACTTAAATTTGTAAAAACTAATAAGTTAACTTAATTCCTTCATGCTTTCCCAACACAAATTGATTGTGTGGAACCCAACATTTTTTACAGTGCATATTTGGCCCAGTGTTGCGTTACAGTAGCCCAAAATTTTTATGGAGTGTGATAATCATTTGAGTCACATTTTTGACCTGGATAAGATGTTGAGAGTTAATTAATTGCAAAGTTAATAAATAAAAATGCTAGTATTAATACTTGTTTTTCAAAAGTTCTAAGAAAACAAGTTACATCATGAGGAAGAAAATGTGTTACAATAATGCTTGACCTTAATGACCTTCCATGTGTATGCAAATGTTGTGCATTTTTTTCTTTAACTAGTGTTGAAAAAATGAAACATTTCCTCTTTAAATTAAAAAATGATAAATAACTGCCCTTGATGACTCTGAGCAGTGCCACGCAGCCGCTGCCATCAGAAGAGATGCTGGGTCAAGGTGGCTTCATGCCTTTCGGCTTCACAGGGGTTTTATCAGGAGCGGCGACCTGCTTTTACGCCTTCGTTGGCTTCGACTGCATCGCAACTACAGGTAGCCTAAAAACTTTCTGAACTCTTAAATCTCAAATCTAATCTTCAGAAAGCACCAGTTTTATCCTACAATTCTCTAAAAGAGTTTAAATACATGATGCGTTTCTACAAAACAAGTGCTGTAACAGTCTATGCTGCAACATTGCTTCAACCTACGTTTTTGTAAAGAGAGTATATAAACATACATCTGACTGCAATTTCTATATATAAATAAACACTACAGGGCAGTATGATCTGTCTGTCTGTCTGTCTGTCTTTCTGTCGGTCGGTCGGTCTGTAATATGCCTCCCAAAAAACACCAAGGTGGACGCTATAGATAGTAAAAAAAATACACAGTAATTTTATTTTAAAATAATCAATACTGTAATGTTTTTACAACTATATAAACTTTATGTAGTTGTAGTAAACATTGCAGCATTGGGTAATTCTTTTTTTATTATTTAATGTTGTTGTATTACCACAGTAACTATAGAATTAACGCCCACAACACATTAATTCAGTATGTCACTATAGTATGGTTCAAAAACAATGCAGTATTTCCTATAAATTACTATAGTAGTAGTGCTAATATCTACAGCCTTGATAGAGGCAGTACTACTGCTTATATTACAGTTTTTCTCAGTCACTTTGGTGCATTTCTCACAACACTATTTACATTTGCACAAAAGTTAATGCATTTCTCAAACATCTACAGCTGTGGAAAAATGTAAATCATTGATGGCTTTTACCTGCTTTTACACTTTTGTTGAATCTTAATACTATATTTAATCTTCAAAAGCCACCAGTTTTCAAACACACTGGTTTGTGGCATTATTTGTTTACTACAGTTTATTTTTCTGAAGATTATTTATAGCAGATAGCTATGCAAAACCTCTGCATGTTTGTGTGAGTATATATATATTAAACATAGCATTGCAAAATAATTTATGGAATATTAGAAAGAAATAAAAATCTATCAGGGGTTGATACCTGGTGAAATATATGACGCGTGTCCACAAACATGAGGTCAGATTGTGCAAGATCTGTTTTAAATGTATAAAGGCTTATAATAAGCACTGCAACAGTAAGGCTATTATGTTATCTGCATATTTGTCCACCATCCATGTAGCTTTGGTCAAGGTTATTTTGAGTTTGCTTAATGTTTATAACCATCTTGCATAGATATTTTCAGTAAACCTGCGTACGGTTTGCCTCTGGTTTTCAACATAAGTGTTGACATTTGGATTTTTAATGTGCTCGGCTTACGGTGTCACTTCCATTTATTTTAAATGTACTAAAACAGTCAATCACACTGCTTTATTTGGCAAACTGTGAATTGTTCTGGTATTATTTTAATGAATTATCTCAATTACAAACACACACATTTTGCTCATTTACATATAGTGGCTAATAATCTGTGTTTCTAAAGAATATATAATTAAAAATATGCTTTGCTGAATAAGTTTGATACTATACAGCTCTGGGGAAAAAATCAGGAGTATCCACCTTCTCTATGCCTTTGTTGGCTCTTTAATCTCAAACCTAATCGTTAGAAACCCCCAGTTTTCTCCTGAAATTTTCTTAAATATATGATGTATGTGCACAAACATGAGGTTAAATTGCGCAGGAACTAATCAGTGCTGTAACAGTGAGGCTATTATGTTATCTGCATATTTGTCTGGCGTTCATATTGCTTGGGTCAAGGTTATTTAGAGTTTCCTTTATGTTTATAATCGTCTCGCATGGATATTCTCAGTGGATCTGCTTATGGTTTGCCTCTGGCCGCCCTCTTTTATAGAGGTTCACTCCCCCAAGTTCCCTGCGTTTGATTGGCTGGAGGGTTTCAGGGTAGCGGTATCACCCCTGCTCTTCTGTATGCTGGTCAGGACCGGTAGTTTACCCATGTTCTCTGTGGCAGTGCTGGCATGAACACACTGGTCCTCTGTTTCATGTAAAGCTCTGCGCAAGGTCAGACCACAGGAGCTTTTGCCAAAAGCAAACATGCTCATAGTTTTCAACGCAAGAGCTGAGTCATTTCTTGCTCAAAGGCTTCTTACAGTGACGCAGTTCGTATGCCTTTAACTAGCTTAATGGGTCGATTAAATGTAGTTCTACCTGACTAAGGTTGCAGTTGATAAGAGAAAGATCCTAACAAAGACGGAGTTTACTTGTCTTCTTTTTTTAGGATTACTTGATTTCTATTTTAACACTGTAGATGTTTTTGTGCATTGTTGATGAATGAAATTTGCAATAAATCTATCTGCATATATGAGTACACCCCTTATATTTGTGCATAATCATTCGATTAGTCTGTACTGAAGCTAATCTAACAAAATAACTTATGACAAAAGTATAGAAATTAGTAGCCCAAATGTAAATGCTTGGGAAAATATTAAAATTATACAAACTATCAAGAGAAACCAAAAATATAGTTGTATTTGTATTTTTTGCAATATTTAACATGAATGTAAATGTAATATATTACTGTTTCTAAAGATGTTCGATGACAAAACCATTTATTATGACAGTTTTGTTCAAATGCACCAATCTATATTAAATATATTTACTCAGAAATTAATAAAAATATTTATTTTCAAAATAAAGTGTACTCATTTATGCTGATCTATCTATCTATCTATCTATCTATCTATCTATCTATCTATCTATCTATCTATCTATCTATCTATCTATCTATCTGTCTGTCTGTCTGTCTGTCTGTCTGTCTGTCTGTCTGTCTGTCTGTCTGTCTGTCTGTCTGTCTGTCTGTCTGTCTGTCTGTCTGTTTGTCTGCCTGCCTGCCTGCCTGCCTGCCTGCCTGTCGGTCGGTCGGTCGGTCTGTCTGTCTATAATAATTTGTTGAAGTAGTTTTTTCTCTAATAAAGTATATATACTGTATGCAGATGAATTGTAATATAATGTGTATATATATATATATATATATATATATATATATATATATGTATATATTTGTAGAAAAAATATACATAGTTGTTTAGTATTTGTTGATTTGTTTTTTCACTTTACAGTTTTTCTCAGTCGCTTTGGTGCATTTCTCACAACACTATTTACATTTGCAAAATAGTTAATGCATTTCTCAAAACAATTTTTATGAACTGCAAAACCTTGTGTATCACCTGCAAAAGCGTGTCACTTGATCGAAATGGAAAATGGATAGCTCATTCCCCATAGCAAGTATTCATGTCAATGAAAGTGTCAGTTTCATTAAGATAAAAAGTCCTGCCACCATTGTTTATGAACAAGATAGATAATGGCTTTGTCATGTTTACATTATGACAGTTTACTCTGTAAGTTTATTTAAATGCAAAAAAGTCAGATTTTAGTGACACTTTCTGAAAATGCTCAAGACAGCAGTATATACTATTTGCACAACCATTTAAAAACTACAGTAAAGTTAGATAGTACTGTAATTAGTGAGATATCTGAGTACAAGACACTGAATATGTATGTTTCACATTTTTACTGCATTTGCTCTTTGCAGTTCTAATTTATTCCCAGCATTGTGCAAAGAATAAACACACCCTTATTTACAACAAACATACATTTCCTTTGGGTAGAGCTGTGCACAACTGTAAACAATATTGAGAAAAACTGTAATATGAGTCCCAAAAAACACCAAGGTGGAAGCTATAGACAGTAAAAAAAATACACAGTAATTTATTTTCTTAAATAATCAATACTGTAATGTTTTTTATAACTATATAAATTTTATGTAGCAGTAGTAAACATTGCAGCATTGGGTAATTCTTTTTTTTTTATTTAATGTTGTTGTATTACCACAGTAACTATAGAATTAACGCCCACAACACATTAATTCAGTATGTCACTATAGTATGGTTAAACAACGCAGTATTTCCTATAAATTACTATAGTAGTAGTGCTAATATCTACAGCCTTGATATAAGCACTACTACTGCTTATATTAAAGCAAACATTTCAGTTTGGTACAAAACTTGCTCTACATAACATATGGATTGCATAAAACATCTGTGGTTATTTAAATATCTTTTGAAATCTGGTCTAGAGTGCAACAACACACACTTACACTTGTAGAATACACACTTTTGACTTCCTGCCCTCCATCTGAAATTTGCGCATCACCAGAATCATGTAATCACAAACAACCTATTAAAGAGAGAAAATTTGCAGAAAAAATGGATTGAAATGTCTTATTTTGGGCACATTCATACACTGTATTGTTTGAAATTTGTCTTAGAGTTAATCACAATAAATTCATCATAATAACAACTTTAATTCTTTCAACTTTTATATTTATTTGTAACAGTAATGTTCTGTTTTCAATTCCACACATTAATGATCAGCCATGTCACAGGATAGCATGGCAAAAAATTAAATCCCCACATATCAATAATGTAAAGTGCTTTAAATAAACTGGTGTCTTGTTACATTAATGTTCTCTTGGAAAAAAAAAAAACTCTCTAAGAACTCCTGTCATTTGATAGTCAAGCCTTAAGTCTGTTAATAGCCTTGTTTGATTCTTTGTGTTGTAATCGATGGTGCTTAACTGAATAAAGCAGGTTTGAATCCAACCTGCGACATGGGTTTTTTTTCTTCACCAAATAAAACACAATGTCATGTTTTATACTATAGGTGAGGAGGTAAAAAACCCTCAACGAGCCATTCCCATCGGCATCGTCTCCTCGCTCCTCATCTGCTTTGTGGCGTATTTTGGTGTATCAGCCGCGCTCACCATGATGATGCCCTATTACATGCTGGATAAAAACAGTCCTCTTCCTGTGGCGTTTAAGTATGTTGGTTGGGAAGGAGCTACATATGCTGTGGCTGTAGGGTCTCTCTGCGCCCTGTCCACCAGGTAAGAACTGATCACACCAGTTAGGGATTGTGTTAGCACACACAAGGACACACAGCGTAGAGTAAACAAGCATGACAGGGGACTAAAAATGTAGTTGAGTAATTAGCCATGCTCCTTGAGATGAATGGATGTTATTAGCCTCAGGCCTGGTTGTAGTTTAAAAGACCTCCGTCAGTTTGGTCGGGCATTTTTTAACCCTTATAATGCATTCCAAATGTGTTGAATACTTTAGCATTGTAAGTTTGTACATATAAAATCAGTGATATATAAAATAGTATATATATATATATATATATACAGTTGAAGTCAGAATTATTAGCCCCCTTTTAATTTTTTGAATTTTTTAAATATTTGCCAAATGATGTTAAACAGAGCTAGGAAATTTTCATAGTATGTCTGATAATGTTTTTTTCTTCTGAAGAAAGTCTTATTTGTTTTATTTCGGCTAGAATAAAAGCAGTTATTAATTTTTTTTAAGAACCATTTTAAAGTCAAAATTGTTAGCCCCTTTTTGCTATATTTTTTGAACAAATCATCATTATACAATAACTTGCCTAATTACCCTAACCTGCCTAGTAAACCTAATTATCCTAGTTAAGCCTTTAAATGCCACTTTAATCTGTATAGACGTGTCTTGAGAAATATCTAGTAAATATCATTTACTCTCATCATGGCAAAGAAATCAGTAAGTATACATAAGTTATTAAAACTATTAGGTTTAGAAATGTTCTGAAAACAACTTCTCTTGGGGGAAATTGGGGGAAAAATAAACGGGGGCTAATAATTCTGACTTCAACTGTATGTATGCTCAACATCATTATTTGTATTATTTTATTTTATTTTATTTATTTTTTGCTTACCTAAAAATATTTAGAGATTCTTCTGTATCTCCTCCAGGTCAAAACAAACCCAAAGCAATATGAGGGTTAAAAATGTGAACATTTTATTACATTTTACTAAATGAACTCTTGCGACCCTTGAGAGGTTGAGAGGGTGCAGTCCAGGACTGGATTGTGTGATAGTGTGTGTGTGTATATATATATTTATCTGAGGCAGCTCATATAGCCCCTTGCTAAAAATATGAAGAGAATTTTGGTGTGCTGAGTTATGAATAAGTTATGCAACACTGACTCCAGACCATGAGTGGGAAAAAGGCCTCACTCTACATTTTTTCTGTCCATAAGTGTCAGGCAGTCATTTGTCTTATAGTTATGACCTACATGCATTCACACCAGAGTTTGTTGCTCAGAAATGTTTGTATCGTGAAATATCAATTATGTGTGATGTATCTATGGAAAATGTCTTGTGCATGATCTCTGATCCTCTTATTCTTCTAATTCTACTCATTTAACTCATTTTAGTTACTAATGATAACCTTCGTAGCTGCAGAGATGAAGTAGATTTATTGGCATTCATTGGTGTCCAGAATATGTTGGAATCTATTAAAAAGTGAAGTGTGTAATTTTACATTAAAATATTGACCTACTTTTGACTATGCGGCAAAAATCTTGGTCCATTTTGCAGCTTATTCAGTCTAAGAACTGCCTATTTAGACACCAACAAATTGTTTGTTTTGCCAATGTGTCCCTAACCATAATTAGTTTTACTTTTGGCTTTAAGAGGTGTACACTGTTAACGGTTTTGGTATATGAACTGTATTTTACTGTAGGACAGTTATGCAGTATGTTACTGTATTTTAAAACTGCATTGTGAAAAATACTGCACATCTTACAGTAGATATAAAATACCGTTAATGCATATAGAGTCAGATAAATGGTGCTGTAAATGTAAATACAATATTTTTTGCTGTAATTGATTTACAGAAAGTTACTGTAGATTCTAACAGTTAACAGTGTATTTAACTTTAATTAAATAAAGCAACGTACACACACATATATGGTGTTGGCTACCTACTATTATTAAAAAAAAGTAGATTTAGTTGGTAAAATAAAATGTATTTCAAATATACTTTTGAAAAACAATAGACAAACCTTTCCCATTATCATATCTTTAATAATTAGGCTAATGATTTTATTAAAATTTTTAAAGTATAACACTTTACAAATCCCCCACCTCTGAGGACAAACAAGATCCACACCACAGCTATAATGGTTACAATTCTGACAAACAATATTATGGGAATAACTTTCAAATTTTGTATAGATGATGAATGGTCAAAACATTCTTAGCCTATTAGAATCCACCCAACAGCTTAAACAATTAGAGTGACAAACAACAAAATTGTGGTGAGTAATTATAATTATTAAAAATATAAACATTCTTGTTGGTGTGACTTCAAATATAGTTATCATTTAATTATTTTTAATAATGAAAATGGGCTTAAAGGGGCTATATGTAAGAATTCTTATGCATTAATGTATTTTTTTGCTTGAAATATGTGTCAACAGCTTCCAATAGAACTTTAAAAAACGATATAGATTGTAGAAAGACGAACAATGGACCGTTTTGGAGGGAAAAAAAGACATTTACACATGCTCCTGAGAGACTCTTCTATTCAAAGGTTGTTAAGAATGCTCAAGATAAAGCCACAAGATATAAGTGTGAAGCTCATATTTACATATTTGTTTCTTTCATAAATGTGGATGATATCTGGATGTTTATTGTTAGTGTATTGCTGGAAATGTGTTTCTACCTATTTTTACTTCTAATCAAAGGTCTAAAAAGAACTTTATCATGAGTATATCAGGCCACTGAATCACATTCAGTCTCATAGACCCTAATTGTGCACAAGTGTGAGCACAATGGACAATAACTTGCTGTAATTCACTTAATGACCAGTGGTGGAGCTAATAACCAGTGTTTGTGAATGATATATTTTTACATTCTTTATAATAAAGTAATAGGCCCCAAGAAGCCGTGATTTACAGTCAATTTATAACAGCTATTAAACATGAAATGAAGTGGAAACATCTTAGCTGTTAAAAAATTGCAGGACTTCTTGGCTTTATAAAATGGTCATTCATATATGGAGCAATAGTTCACAAATTAAAACAAAGTAATTATAAATTAAGACTGATATTGAATTGTAATTTACAACAGTTTCAAACATAGCTCAACCAATCATTAACAAGGATCATTTGTTTCGTAATTCTATATATATAGCCCCTGTGAGACCTAAATTCCAGATGTTGTGTAACACCAACCAACCAAACTAAAAGTGTGTTTTAGTAGGCTGATTTCCCTGAAGAGCAAACGCTGTGGCTATGTTGCGCTTTCAAAACACTGCTCTGTTTGTTCAAGCTCTCATCTGAGGTGAAAGAGGTGGTGGACGCATATGGAAACAATCATCATTTTTTGCTTCATAAATTACACGCTTCACCTTGACAATCACCTTATCTAATGTAATCTTTGATGCTAAGAGATGCTCTTGCAAACACGGGTGGTCTGATCTTCTGATGGTGGTGGTGGGGCTCTGTTTGTGGCATGAATCTCATTCATAATAACACCACAACAGTGTATGAATGCACTATGTCTGTCTCTTTTTTGCATGGCATGGTTTGTTTTCACCATCTCTCGCGGCAGCCTGCTTGGCGCCATGTTCCCCATGCCCCGTGTCCTGTGGGCCATGGCTGACGATGGCCTGCTCTTCAAATTCATGGCTGGGATCAGCGAGAGAACAAAAACACCCATAAAAGCCACTATAATGTCTGGCTTTCTCGCAGGTGAGACTGAATTTAAATGCAACTAATCTACTGACGTTGTGTACGTTTGTAGTATCACGCATCCGTCCGGCTGCATGGGAAAAATAAACAAAGCATTTTCGAAGCACTTGCATGGACCTGACAGCTACGATGGGATTCATTTCGTAAATAAACTGGATTCACTGCATGACCTGATTTTACCATGGTAGACACATTTCTGAATGGACATCTTTGCCGTTCCTGGAACAACATTCCAGTCATTTAATCAGATTTTAGGGAATTTTACAGTTTATGTCTTGCAATCAAGGTTTAAATTTGTCTTTATTATAATTCACCTATCATTTCTTAAAGATTGTAGGAATAACTTATGGTTAGGGGTATATTTAGGGATAAGAATTGGAGGTTTGGAGTAGTGCTGCCACAAGATTAGTTAATCACATCCAAACTGCAAAATAAAAGTTTTTTTTTAAATAATATGTGTATGTGTGCTATATATATTATGTTTACAGTGATCCCTCAATGTAATGCGATTCATGTTTTGCAGTTTTGAGTATTTTTTTTTTCAAATTTTTTTTCTACAGCGCATTGTTTTGCATTCTGATTGGCTGTAGAGCATTGTCGATAGTTCTCCATGCCGTGTCTCCTATACCGCACAGAATGCGTTCAGCTTGCCAAGTTTACGTAAATTGTCGATTACTAGCAGTGTGACTCTGAAGTGCTGTACTGTATGTTTGCAAGTTTTTCCTCACAATGTCGACGAAATGTTTAAATCACTGCAGAAATGTTCTAACCAACAGGCCCTGGTCACATACAGTACAAATACATTTCTTAATAAATAACCTACTATGTAAATAACATAAATAACCTACTATAAATTAATTCAATTCAATTCAATTCACCTATATTTGTATAGCGCATTTACAGTGCAGATTGTGTCAAAGCAGCTTCACATAAATGGTCATAGTAAATTGGAACAGAGTAGTTCAGTTTTTAGTGTTTAAGTTTAGTTCAGTTTAGCTCAGTTCAGTGTGGTTTAATAATCACTACTGTGGGTCCAAACACTGGAGAGCAAATCCATTGATGCGTATATCTACTTATCCCAAACCATGCAAGCTAGTGGCGACATCGGAGAGGGAAAAAAAACTTCACAAATTGGCGAAAGTGAAGAAAAAAAAAACTTGAGAGAAATCAGACTCAGTTGGGCTCAGTTGGACTCAATTAAGACATTAATGTATGCTATTTTGTTTGTTTGTTTGTTTGTTTTCACAAGCTTTGGAGATGTAGCGTAAATTTCGCGTTTAAATAATAAGTCACCAATAGCTTTTATCATGAGCCATGGCTGTGTTCAAAATGGCATTAATGTTTTCAAAGTGCACTGCAAAGGTAGCGCAATTGTCAATATGAAGATCGTTGAAACTGAACTAAAAAATACTTTGAAAGTAAATTACACCTAAGAGAGATGACTTTAATGTTTTTTTTTATCATTCCAAGTTTCAATGTTGGAAGGTTCGAAAGGAATAGGGCATAGGGGGGATAACTGGAAATAGAGCACAACCAGGAACTAAGCTTTTAACCTCAGCTCTAGAGGTTTAGTTTGAAATGTACAAGTTTGCGATGCAGTTTGCGAATGTTCGTTGGAACTATAGATTTTGATAACACCAAATGAACAAACTATGTTTGTAACTATGCAACTTGTGACCTTAGTTGGCCAACGATGGTTTTCGGAAACGCACCCCAGCACCGTTAAAGGCACCTGTGGTAGCAGGAGATCAAATGGTTTCATCCAATAATACAGGACTTATTTTTTTACGAAGGTTTGAACTTTGAGAGAAAAAAGTGAAAATGTTAATGCCTGTCTGAGAAAAGTGTATAAAGTGTGTAGTGAGGGGTTACAACCTTAACAAATCTATAATAATAGTAGAAAATAAAGCGGACTACTTTGCGGATTTCGCCTATTGCTGGTTGTTTTTTGAATGTAACTCCTGCGATTAACGAGGGACCACTGTATTTAAATACACACAAATACATAAAACAAATAAATGTTTGACTAAATTTCCATCTATTAGAACATGTTTTTCTAGTCCCTGATTTGAATCAGTCACAGGTAGACAGAGAGATTATATGTGTGTGAATGTAAATGACACGGGCGGATCTAAAAGCTCATAGTAACATGTGTTAGCTACCTCTTCACAAATACATGTTGAGCATGTTTGCAGGATGGTTATCTCAATTGGTTTGCTCGTTTAGCTATTGTCAGTGTACTCAAAATTACACAGATGGATGAAAGTTCTGGCAATTGTGACTATGTTTACTACTATGTTTAAAGAAAGTGCAACTCTGATCAAACCCGATTGGAACTACCTGTGCATTAAACAGTTACATTGCACACATTTCAGCCATTTAGAATCATACACACAACTATATTATCAAAATGCAGACTTTTATTTTGGATGTGATTGAACACCGTTAATCATTTGGCAGTACTACTTTGCATTACATCTTTGGCCAGAAATGATGTTCCAGGATCAACAAAATCTGTTAACTCAGGAATGCGTCAAACTCTGCAAAATCAGGATGTGCAGATTTACCCCCTTTCTGCCTTTGACTCCTTCTCTGGCAGCTCCTCATTTGGCTTATATGTTCATTTCTATTGTCTTTTCTGCTCTCTTCCTCTTTTTTGTTTGTGATCATCCCATGATCAGTCTCTTGGGGTCCTTGTTCCCCCTCCCACGTATTATCTTTGCCATGGCCCGGGACGGTCTGCTCTTCTCGTTTCTGGCTCGGGTGAGCGAGAAGAAGACGCCCGTCGTGTCCACTCTGGCCTCTGGGGTCACTGCTGGTAAGAGCAGAGGGCATTGTGGGAGGGGAAGGATTTAGCTCCATTGGGTGGGTTGCTTTTGTTGCTGTTTGAAACACCAGTCTGTTCATTTCTATAGGGGGGAGGCTGAAAACTCTGTTTATGAGACAACACCAAACGGTTACTGTACATGTAATTGGGAGAGCTAACAGGGGTTATTTATTCTTTCTTTCTATAATGATTCCAGTATAGTTTCCTGGAATACAAACTTGTAAGACTGACTTTGCTGTGTTTTATTGTGCAAACATGACATGACGTCAGTTGTACCATGCTAAAAACTCTGTTGACATTATTTTTTACGTTTATATGTTGTTTGTATTTTTCTTTTCTTTTTTTCATTTCAAGCGTTTGAAGAGTAATTTTTGCTCTGTACTTTCCATGAATAAGGCAATAAGATTACACACGTTTAAAATTAACTTTTTGGAGAGTTTAAGTCTTATTCTTAAAAAAGTTGATTTAAAATGCATTATATTTATTTCATTTTCAAATATTTTAAATTCATGTCAAATGACTTGTTTGTAATTATTTTGTTTTTATTTTAATTACATTTAATAGGATTGCTTGGATCACAGATTGAGTTGTTGAAGCATTAAATAACAGTATATAAATACCATTTTTATATAAATATGCAAATATGATTAAGGACAAATACGCCAATAGCACATATATGTTAAGTAACATCTAAATTTATGTTTTGTCAGGTTGTCAGGTAGATGCAGAATTCCTGCACCCACAAACAATTAAATAAAACTGCATAGGCTAAACTGTATAAATTAAATATAGATTAACCTCCTTTAACATTACAGATGGTACTCGGTCAAGAACAGCTAGCTATAAAATTTTATTTAACAGCCCCGATCACTTTAAAATCTAATGCAAGAACCCAATATCATTATACAGTTGAAGTCAGAATTATTAGCACCCATAAATTTTTAGACCGCTTGTTTATTTTTTCCCCAATTTTTGTTTAACAGAGAGAAGATTTTTTTCAACACATTTCTAAACATAATAATATTAATAACTCATTTCTAATAACTGATTTATTTTATCTTTACCATGATGACTGTAAATAATGTTTTACTAGATTTTTTTCAAGACACTTCTATACTGCTCAAAGTGACATTTAAAGGCTCAATTAGGTTAATTAAGTTAACTAGGCAGGTTAGGGGAATTATGCAAGTTATTGTATAACAGTGGTTTGTTCTGTAGATTATCGAGAAAAAATATAGCTTAAAGGGGCTAATAATTTTGTCCCTAAAATGGTTCATAAAAAATTCAAAACTGCTTTTATTCTTGTCGAAATAAAACAAATAAGACTTTCTCCAGAAGAAAAAATATTATCAGACATACTGTGAATATTTCCTTGCTCTGTTAAACATAATTTGAAAAATATTTCAAAAAGAAGAAAAAAAATCGAAGGGGGCTAATAATTCTAACTTCAACTGTACATGTTGATTGTTTCTTAACTGTTTATGTTAAACTAATTGCCTGTTCACGAGGATGCTTAGCAAGTGTTGTTAAAACCATTTTATCCAGCCAAACCTAAAAAGAGAACTCAGATTGACTTCAGTACTCTAGTGCTAGTGGAACTATGCTAGTACAAAATAATGTAATAGTTTGAGTCTTCTTAAATGCAAGATGTTTAAAATCACTTGAATGTGTTATTATTATTATTATTATTATTTGTAATAATGAAGATGATGGTAATCCTTTAAAAAGTAGTCTGCAGATCACATTTGTCCCAAACCAAGGGTTGTGGTTTTTCCGAATATAACTTCTAAAATATATATTTCATCTTAGTGTATAGAATTCCTGCGTATTGGTTTTTACACATCAACCAAAACTCTTGTAAAAGGTATTAAGGGGAACAAAATAACAATTTTCACTCCCCAAAGTTAACTTAAGAATAATCTTAACTGACGTCTTTTCAGATTATTTCAGACATCACTAATATTATTGTTAAAGTATGTTATAAGTCTAAAACTCCACAGGAAATAATGAAGGATTACTTTAAATCCCTTTTTATGCAGTTACTGAGTAAGTGGATTTGGTTGAGTTTTTTCTCCGTTAAAAACAATCTGAAAATGACATTGCGGGTCTGAAACAACTTATTTTAGGAATTTATAAAATATCTAATTAAAACTTTATTGACGTCTTTTTTGCATTCTAGGAATTAAAAAGGAAACACAATTATAATTTTGTACCCTATTTGTGGAAAGTGCATGTATATTTTATTTTAGATATGTGTTTACAAATGAACTTTAAAACATGTTGATAATTGTTTCTTTGTAGCTGATACTCCATTAATGTTGAATAATTTGACTACAAAAAATATATTTTATATATATTAAAGTGATGACTGTTCATTTCTTTTTTTGGTCATTTTTTTATATGTGGGTCAAAGACTTAAAGGTTTTTCAAGAATCAGAATTGTAAAAGTTTAATACATAAATTACATAGATTTTTTTTTATTATTTGCCAGTACAAATTTACTTTTATTTGTTGAGTCAAAATAATAAATATCTTACATTTTTGACATTTTTAGAAGATGCCAAATCAAAAAATCCCGTCACGCATATTTAAAACAAGAATAATATGGCTACATATTACAAGTCTTTATTTAAAGGTGCAGTAGGTGATCTGCCTAAATGCTAACCGGTTAGCAAAATATGTTTGAAGCACAATCCCTCCCTTGCCATCCAAAGCCACACCTTCTGAAATAATGAGCATGCACATTAAAGAGAAGACCCACAAGATCATATCATTCGCCTGCTAGAAAACTTTATAGTACTTTATAATACTATGATTCTGAATATAAAATCGTAAAATATTTAGCATGTTTTCAGTTTTCAAAACTTGTCATAATGTGCAATATTTCATGCATGCAAGGATCGCTTGTCTCACTCTTTCACACGCTTTGTCTAAAAGCCACTACTGTATGCTTAGTGGTTGGCCTGCGGGTGCAGGAATTACACTTATTACTAAGCCATACTTACATGCTATTTCAGACCGAATATTCAAAGTAGCATGGTAAATAATATAAGGAGCACATCACTGGCTATCATAGCTCAAAAATGAACCAATGTGATGTGAATATACCAACTTCACCGCAGTAAAGCAGGCTAGGGGGAATACTGCTGTTATCTTGTTGTTAAACTGAATAAAAATCTACATTATCGATGCTGTAAAAGGTCTTTTATGAAACTGAAAATAGTCACATCAATCTTTCGCTGGAAGATTTCAGTGGCTGAACAACACTTCTGTGCATATAGCCCATTCGTAACAACCAAATCTACATAAGCTTTGTGTGACTAAAATACCAGAAATTACCCAGAATTTAAAAATACATATAAATATATTTAGATCATCTACTTTAATCAGTACTATTGGAATGGGAAGAGACTTTCAACCAGCACAACAAAAATGTTTCTGAAGACAATCACCTACTGCACCTTTAAGAATCACAATATTGCCCAAAATGTGTAATTAATTGTCAATTTACGTCTTTTCACTTTTGTTACGTCCTTACTAATGCATTTTATATATGTATTTTACCTTTTAATTTCTTAACATTTAACTTCTCCATAAATAAATCCAATACACTGAATAACAAAGGAATATCCATATCATCTTTGACTCAGATATATACAGTATATTTTCTTTACCTACAAATTTAAGTCAAATAATCTTAAAGTACAACAAATCATGCATATTTAAATCCTTGATAAGCGGTTAACTATACATACCAGTCCATCCTCAAAAAGATAACCATAAAGCTGATCCTTTTCATTTCTCTGCAGCAATCATGGCTTTCCTGTTTGACCTGAAGGACTTGGTTGATCTAATGTCTATAGGGACTCTTCTGGCCTACACACTGGTTGCTGCCTGCGTTCTTGTACTCAGGTCCACAGATATTATATTTAAAATGACTTTATTGCTCTCATGCTTATATATTTGTGTTATTACAACTGCCCTATTCACAGACCACTTGTGTAAAATATTGTCCACAGGTACCAGCCGGAGCAGTTTTCTCAAACATATCACATAGCCAACACACATGAAGACATGGAAATGAGTGAAACAATAAGCACACCCAGCATGGGGATCCTGCCCGGCGTAGAGGAGCGTTTCAGCTTCAAAAACCTGCTCTTTCCGGACATCATCGAACCCTCCAACCTGTCTGGATTCACCGTTAACATCTGCACCAGTCTGCTCGGTATGAAATATTCAAGACAAACACTGCAAACAAAAATAAGTAATTAATAGATCACACTAGTGTAATAGACTAATGGTTTGTCTCACTTTATAATTTTCTGTCTGTAGATTTCAATTACAGTAACTATTTTTAAATGCTGTTTTATTACAATTAGTGTTCTGCACTCACTAAACTTCACAGTTGAATCAATGTCTGTATTCTGGATGTTTCTGCAGAGGGATTTGTTCATGCATAAGTTAGCTGATTACACATTTTATTCTAAAAACATTGATATAATTAAAAATAATAATAATAATAAATAGAATAAATAGATTTTTCTGATTGTTCACAGTAATTTTTGTATTATGTTACAATCAAAGTGTTTTCTGAATTATGCAACTATAAAAAGAGACCCGTAATCATTTAATTAGGACAGCAAGGTCTGACTTTGCTTAGACTAAAGTCTTGCCACTTAACAGAAATAATGCACGGTAAAGAATATAAAGTCATAGTGAAGAATTAGTATTGTGTATGACTCCCATGAGCTTGGAGAACTGCATCCATACATCTCTGCAATCACTGAAATAACATTAATAAAGTCAGCTGAAATGGCAAAGAAAGGGTTCTTCCAGGGCTTCCAGAGTTCATCAAGATTCTTTCGATTCATCTTCAGTGGCTCCTCCTTCATCTTACCCCAAACATGCTCAATAATATTCATGTCTGGTGACTGGGCTGGCCAATCCTGGAGCAAATTGACCTTCTTTGCTTTCAGGAACTTTGATGTGGAGGCTGAAGTATGAGAAGGAGCGCTATCTTGCTGAAGATTTGTTTGTAATGTAATGGGCAGCACAAATTTCTTGATACCGCAGGCTTTAGATGTTGCCATTCACTCTGCAGATCTCTCAGGAAAATCTACCTTCTGCCACTTTTCTAAATGATCAACTAGAAGTTAAGTTATTATTTGTTGCTCTTACAACTGGGATTGATGACAAAACTTTTATTAGTGTATGTCAAAACAATGAATTTTTTTTTTTCCCCTGTTCATCCAGTGTTTAGATTTTGTGCTACAGATATTGTGCTTCATTGCATACTCACAACATTTGGGAAAACCAGTAATACAAATTTTTTTTTTGCATTATGTAATGTAATAAAAAAATAGGGTAGTGTGATTTTTACTTTTACCCCATTCACTTGCAGTATCTTGCCTTAAAGGGACAGCTCAACCAAAAAATATAAATGTGTTAATTATGTCATGCGCTCTAAATTGTCTGTGAATTTTCCTTCAGCAGAGCATTAAAGAATTGTTTTTTGTTTTTTCATTTTAGCTAAAGCTGTGGTCATTAGTGTCTGTTTCATAATACATAAATAAACGGCTACTGGCACTTTGAGAGTTAAAAAAAATAGAGGCAATACATAATTAATACCTATGACTCCTTATGTTAAGAGCTTTTAAAGTGAAATGATTGATCTGTGAAATAAAGTGAACTTTAGTTACAACATAATTACCTTTTAATCCTCAGCCTCATTCGCAACAGTCTGGAACATGAGCTTTATGCTGTGAACATGCTCAAGAATGTTTGCCAATGCTGTAGATTAAATGTAATAGTGTAGTAAGTTTTCTTGCACAGACTGATCATTTCACTTTTTTTTGGTTTTCTGGGTGACGATTGAGTTGCATTTTATGAATCACCAAGCACCACTGTTTCATCTAAAAATCTTGGATGACCATACGGTGTACAAAGGAACAGCAAATGTTCATTTTTAGGCGAGCTGTGCCTTTAGGAAACATGAACAGTGCAGGGTTTATGGATTTGTTTAGTAGTTTTTCTGACATTCCTGAATTGTGTTTTTTTTCCAGGTCTGCTGATTCTCAGCTTCAGTCTGTTGGCGGTTCGGGGAGGAATAGCGAGCTGGAATATCATCACTCTCGCTGTCCTGTTCGGCCTGTGTGTCATTGTCACATTTATCATCTGGAGGCAACCTGAGAGTAAAACCAAGCTCTCTTTTAAGGTTAGACCGCGGGCACATCTAACAGAGCACAAGGTGTAGTGGTTCCCAATAAAAGCAGTTCTGCTGGAGCCAGATTTACTATTTTTAGATGTTAAATGTGAGTGGTTAAACACAAAGCCAAATACTGTGTTCTGCTTTTATGTGGTTCACATGGGACTCACTTGATCAAAGCTGTATTAAAGTTTTACGATTCTGATTCTTGATAACCCTTTTTAATGGGTATTCAATCCATATATAGAACATTTCTTACCATAGAATAAACTAAAAATGTTTTCACTGAACTGTTACAAATGTAATAAATAATTTAAAAAGCATTTAATAGCATTTAATAAGTATACAGGTAGTCAAAATTGTCAATATTAGTCTTTTATAATACGTTGTAAGGCTTTTAACAAATAAAGCTCATAAATTTTTAAAAGGATCCTCAAAATCTAATGAAACCAGTGTGATGAAAATAACACAGCTTGTAAGTTTGTCATGGAAAATAAGAACAAAAGTGACCCAACAAAAAGCCAAACAGTAATATATTTCATCTTAAAATCAATCTTTGAAAATGTATTTAGAACATTTGTATGGAACACAAGGGTGTTTAATAACTGACAATAAAGTAGAAAAATACATAGATATTAAGTAAAACAAAAATTTGAATAAAATTGGAAATTACTAAAATGACAAAAAATATTTACATATAAATAAAACATCAGTAATATATACAGTTGAAGTCAGAATTATTAGCCCCCTTTTGATTTATTTTTCCTCTTTTAAATATTTCCCAAATGATTTTTAACAGAACAAGGAAATTTTCACAGTATGTCTGATAATATTTTTTCTTCTAGAAAAAGTCTTCTTGGTTTTATTTTAGCTACAATGAAGGCAGTTATTAATTTTTTAAAAAGAATTTTTGGGATAATATTATTAGCCCCTTTAAGCAAATTTTTTTTTCCGTTAATCTACAGAACAAACCATTGTTATACAATAACTTGCCTAATTACCCTAACCTGCCTAGTTCACCTTATTAACCCAGTTAAGCCTTTAAATGTCACTTTAAGCTGTATAGAAGTGTCTTGAAAAATATCTAGTAAAATATTATTTACTGTCCTCATGGCAAAGATAAAATAAATCAGTTATTAGAAATGAGTAATTAAAACTATTATGCTTAGAAATGTGCTGCAATAACAATCTTCCCTCTGTTAAACAGAAATTGGGGGGAAAAATGAACAATGGCCCTAATAATTCAGGGGGGCTTATAATTCTGACTACAACTGTATATATATCAAATTACATTGACCTTGCTGGCAGCATAAGCTAGTGTTTGAGCTACACAACATAACATATTGAGTAACTAACCATTTTCCACATCTTCCATCAGGTTCCTTGTCTTCCCTTCATTCCGGTGGTGAGCATGTTTGTCAACGTCTACCTGATGATGCAACTGGACAGAGGCACCTGGATACGATTTGCCATCTGGATGTCTATAGGTAAAACACTAGACAGAAAAAACATAAAAAAACACTCTTAAACACAAGTCCTGATCAAATACAGCCCTGTTTACACCTGGTACAGGTATAAATGAATTTAAACTTTGCTGTTAATAGTTGATTCTATGCACCCCGTCTGACAACGAATACGTCAGTCCGGATGTGCAAGTCATCAGCGCTGCAGTGCAAACAACTTAGTTGCCATTCTTGCGTCTTTGCATATGAAAATGTGAGATGCAGTGATCAGAAATGGTTCCGCCATGTTGCCATTGTAATACCAACTTGCAACTGTTAACGGAAGCTCTCAACCCAGCATCTGAATTCTGATTGGTACACTACTCTGGAACTGACATTAATAAGCTCTACTGGGTGTAAACATTGAAAGTCTTTTATGTATTTATGTATTTAACATTGAAAGTATTTTATGCATCTAAAAAGTCAAAGCTCGTGTGCTAGACTCTGAAAAAGACAGAAAAACATAGAAAAACAATAAAAATATAAGGCCCTGCACATGAACACAGATATTTTCAAAGCCACACTTTTTTCAATGTGGTTTTGCTGTTTTTTTCACACGAAAACAGAGTGTCAGGTGACTGGAAAACTGTGAAGGTTTTCTGAAACTATTGGTATATACAGTGTGGACGGAAGACGAGAATGAGGCAAATTCTGCATGTTTATGGCAAACACATTGCGTATTCACACCGTTCACACCACAGGCCCTGTCACACAGGTTGAGCTCAAACTTTGAAAATAATGTTTTTCCAAATTATTTTTAGTTATTTATTTATAATTATTTTAGTTTAATTTCATAATTCTTTTTATTTTGTACTTTTTTATCACCAGGAGCTCTTCAGTTCTGAAGCAGATTGTGACAAAGCACTTCAGCCTGTTCAGATTGAACAGAAAGAAATCCAACACTGAGGATTTGTTTCTTATTTCCTTAATAGTAGTTTTGTTCCTTAGTACATACACCCGCCCACAATCCCACCTATTTAGAAAAGTGGTCGAAGTGTAAAAAAACTGACACATGTAAGCGAAAGCAGTTTGCGTTTTCCTTGTTTACTTGTGATCCAATGCATCAAAATCCATCTTAATACCAGGTGTAAACAGGGCCATAGTATTGCGGTCATTTTTGAAGGGCCTCCAGAAAAGCAGTTGGCACGTACACACTCCATAATTTCCTCCATTATCCCTCTGTTTTCTCCAGGACTCGTAATCTACTTTGGCTATGGGATCTGGCACAGCACCGAAGCCGCTCTGGCTCATTCCAGTATGGACGAAGAGTTGAGTGTGTACAAACCTGCCTGCGGTCTCAACCGAGACAGCGTGACCCCAGAGAAAGAGGCTTTCCTCTGTAATGGCCACGGGTCACAGGTAGATGACGATGGAGATATCTAAATGAGCAACAGTGTTATGTTGTATACTCAGACTTTACAGAAAGCACTCCGTCAGGAGGTAGTGAGGAACACGGGTCGCTGGAGTCTAATCTGGTAGAGCTCGATGACTGATTTAACCAATGTCACTTTCATGTGAAGGAGTCGGAGGGTTCAGTGCGCACTACATAGATGGAGGTATTTGAATATTCATACAACTCCAGGGCTTTGTTTTTTTTTCTACTTCAGAGATCTTGAAGAAAACCAAAACAGGCACAGGACCTTTTGTTGAGTAAACAAACAAACAAACAAACAAACAAACAAAAACAGAAACAAATGTGAGCTGCAGTATTTTGAACTTGTGCCTTTTGTCCTTGTATTGCGATCAAAAGTACAACCTTAGTTGTGAAAATGCTGGGACGTTTTTGTAAAATGCAAGTAAATCAGGAATATGTGTTTTGTTAATTGTCTTTAACCATTATTTTCTAAGGTAAAGCACTTACTTACTTACCTACTCCCAAGGCCGTTTATAGTGACGTTGATATTTAGGCCCAATCCCCATTCTACCCCTTAGCCCTTTCCCTTACCCCTATCCCTTGTTTGCGTGTTCACATTAGGGGTAGGGGTGTCCCAATTCTCGTTAGCTTGAAGATGTAGGACTAAGGGGAAGGGCTAGATACCCCTCGAAACTGAAATTTTTCATGACCAAACTCGAAACCAAGGAGTAAAATTTTTTCCCAAAATACACCAGCCACATTGGCAGCATGGCTGCACAGGTAAAAAAAAAAAGAGATACACAAATTAGCATTTTTTTTTCATTATTACAAATTTTTACAACAAACAAGCATATGTTTTAATATTTTCATAACCGCGTTCGTGTTTTACCATCATGTTAAAAAAAAAACAATGAATTTGGCTTTCTATAATCCCTAATGATAACTCCTGTTTAGAAGTCCCACAACATTCTGACACTCGGTGACACTTGAATATCCTGTCAGAAAAGTCTAGTGGCTGTGAATGAGCTTTTTTACAGTGTCTGCTATAATGTTAATGTTGTTTTTGTGGGTTTACATAGATGAATATGGCCACTGTGTAAATGCACAGTACAGTTACGATCTAATTGCCTCATTATATCAATATGATAACATGAAATATGCCTTCAGTAATTTCCTAAAGATAAATACCAAAAAGTAACGCAACTGGAATAACCACAGAAGTTGCGATCGTCAGTCTCATATAAAGCAAGTAATCGCAATGACATATGATGATATGTGCTGGTGCTGTAGTGGTGTCCTATTTTTTAGAGGTAAATTTTAAAACCCTTCCCCTTAACACTCTGTTTCAATGTCCAAGGGGAAGGGGTAGGGCTACAAAAAATTAATTGAAATTGGGCCTAAGCTGTACCGTGTTGGTGTATGTGTGTATGTCCTGGTCCTCGGAGGTTGAGCATTGGGCTAACAACCAGCTTTGTAAAAAAATTGAAGTTACGAAACACCAACATGGTGTGGCTAAGGAAAAGTAGAAAGAAAAAACAAGTTTTTTTACCCAGCAAATGAATTGAATTGTGTAGGTATAAACAATTGTCAGATTTCAATGGTGCCAGCTGTTTTTTCTTTCACGATATTAATATCTATCTGGCAGTTTGTGAACAATCCAATTTGAAAGGAGAAATATTCTCAATGTTTTTGACAATTCTCTCATGGATTTTAACACAATATGATCAGCCATTAAGACTGTGATTCACATTTTATAACCAAACATGAAACCTCATATATCATCCAACGCAATCTTATGAAAATTCTCAACTTTATGATTAAGAGGCTTATTTGCATTCATTTGTATGTTATTATTCATACATCCGAGTACAATTTGCTTATCCCCAATGAGGGACAGCTTTAGAGGTTGGGTTTGGGAGCATGCCTTCTTTTTAATTTTTTACTTTCTCATATGAATCAAATCATATAAATTCATACAAATCACTTATCTGACCTTATGTAATATAGTAAACAGTAATAGTAAACAGCAACATTTAATTTGAGTTTCATTAGAATATTCTTCAAACCTTGTAGTGTGTTTCAGCCATCAAAATCGAGTTTTGTTTATATTCCTAAAATACAGCATAACTGTCAATTCAAACACTGGAAATCTTTTTTTTTTTTTTTTTTGTCAATTAAATAAGACCTAAAGAGAATTAACAAAACACTGACCCTTGACTTTATTGCATTTTACAAATACAGCCTGCCATTTTTTTAACTGGTTTTGTAAATAAGAGTTGTTTTATGATGAAAAATGTATGGTTTTACGTATCGGAACATGAAAGATCAAACCACGCTTGGCTTTTCTGCTGAATCTATAGCATCTGAGGTCACATTTATGCTGGTTTGAACTGCCCTGATGCAGAAACTGTAGGTTTTTTGCTGGTCCAGCCAGGTTAGTACTGCCACCTAGTGGTGTGGTTGATCAGTTGCTTGTGTTAGCTGCTTGCTATCCATCACAGTGCTGGCTGCTGTGTCTTCTGTGCAGATGGAGTCTGCTTTTTCAATGGTGTCTTAATGTTGCTTACACAAGATTTTTTTGAAGACAGTTTGATATCTAACAGTATATTTGGCTCATTTAAATCGATAGTTCACCCAAAACTGACAATTCTCAACCTTCGTTTGTCACAAACCTGTTTGAAATCCTTTCATCTGTTGAACAAGATGAACAATGACAACTGTCATTTTTTTATTCATTCATTTTCCTTCAGCTTACTCCCTTATTTATCAGGGGTTGCCACAGTGGAATGAAAACGCTAACCATTACAGCAAAAGTTTTACGCAGCAGATGCCTTTCAAGCTGCATACACCTATACACTCTCACATTCACACACACTCCGACACTACAGCCAATTTAGTTCACCTAATTCACCTACACCACATGTCTTTGGGCTGTGGGAGAAACCGGAGCACCCAGACAAAACCCACATGAACACGCATAGGGAGAACATGCAAACTTCACACAGAAATGCTAACTGGCCCAGCTGGGACTCAAATCAGTGACCTTCTTGATGTGAGGTGACAGTGCTAACCGCTGAGCCACCATGCTGCCTGAACAAGAAGCCATTTTGAAAAATGGTAACCATTGACTTATATAATTCTTGTTTTTCCTACTATGGAAGTCAATGGTTACCAGTTTGACCATTCTATAAAATATCATCTTTTGTGTAAAACAGAAAAAGGAAACTCATAAAGGCTTGGAACAATTTGAGGGTGAGTAAATAGTGAGCTAATACATTTTTTGGGTGAACTATACCTTTAAGACATTTTTCACATTGTGCTTTTGTCAGTCTAAATATTTTACAAATGACAAATGAGTGATAATAAGAAGTTTGGAATAATTATTATTATACAGAAGTAGTTTTTAATTAAAATACAGTAAAAACTGTAAAATGGTAAAATATTATTGCTTTTAAAAATAAGTATTTATTAAGTTTTAGATATACTGTATTTCGTGATGGAAAGTCTGAATTGTCAGAAGTCTTTCTGAATCCTTCTAATGTGCTGATTCAGTATTCAGTTACAGTATTATCAGTTATTTGTGGAACTCAGTTATTAATAGGATAACATGTTACTGCTTGACATTTATTGGAAACTGTTGACATTTTATTTTCAAAATCCTTTCATTAATACTGTATAAAATTCAAAGAATGGCATTTATTAGAAAGATACTGCTTTTTGTAACATTATTAATTGCTTTTAGCAATCTCATTCATCCTGGCTGAATAAAAGTATTACTTAAATAATATATTCTTTTATTACTGACCCCAGAACTTTTCAAGCACCACAAACAGCATATTGGAGTGATTTCTGAATGACCAGACTCAATAATGACTTCTGAAAAATCTGCTTTTAATCATATTGTAATTATATACTAAATTAGTTATTTTTAAAATTATAAATTTTTATAATTATAATTACATTTTACAATATTACTGTATTTTACTTTATTTTTATTAGCAAACACAATGCATCCTTAATTATGAGTGTCCTTCTAAAAACATTTTTTAAAAATGCATAACTATTCCAAACTTTTTACTGGGAGTGTAAACCTAAACATACAAGATTTAACAATAATCACCTTTGCCACATTCATTAGGTCCCTCCACCTAAAAATTGTCAAAGATATAATTAGTAGTTTATAATATTGTTGTTCTTTATGTATTTTTGTCAATGGTCTTTAAGTTTATATGGTTATAATTGATGCTTTCATTAGAATATTAAACTAGAGGAACTTTTGCGAGTATAATCTTGGCCATGTTAAATAATAATAATAATAGTAGTAATAGTAATAAGTAAGCATCTGTTCCATTGTTTTCTCAGGAGCATGACATTTCTACAAAAACCCTACAAAAACAACAATCTGACCTCAGGATCATTTATTCTAGAATGTGTTATGAATTTATATACATTTATAACATATATTTATTAGTTCTAGAAAAACGTCTTCATATATATTTTTATTTGTAGATATGCTGACGGTCCTGATGAAGATGTACAATCAGTCAATGAATATTCTATCGTTCTTCGTTTATTCCATGAAGTAAATGATTTGTAAATAGCAAATGATGCTCTTTATTATGCAGAAAAAAGCAATAATGTTTGTGCAGAGGCCTTGTTTATTTTTTGGTTAGATACATTTTAGTAGATTAAAATGTATTATTTTCATATATGTGAATATGTTAATGAATCTGTTGTTTAGTGAATGTTTTCTCTTTGCCGTTGCAATCAAGAATTACAAAAAAAATTCATAGAGCGCTTAAATTTGTAAGTTTTTCTGGATTTAATGGTTTAATAGAGTTTGAGTAAAATGTTATTAATGGTCGCCCCAATGTCCAAGATATGGTCTTTTTTTTTTTTTGAAAATGTAAGAATGACAAATGTTTTGGCTGAAAACCAGTTTTTTTTTCAACAAATACTAATTTCTTAATGTTTCTGTAGTTAAACGGGGACATAATAGAGGTGCCTGAAAGTTATTATAAAGATGTCTAGAAATATTACATGTAAAATATATACTCTAAATTACATTTTAATTTGAACATATCAAAGGAATGTCATCGGTAGTTTAAGAAATAAAACAAAATGTTTTACTCAAACACATAGCTGCATAGTAAATAAACTGAGAATTCTCAGGTGTTCAATATATATATAAATCACATGTGATCCTGGACCACCTCTCAAGTAGCAGTGGTATATTTGTAGGAATACCCAACAAAAATTGTATAAATTATTATTATTATTAATATTTAATTTCATGCCAAAAAGTTGTCATCATACATTGAAAAAAAATATGTCTGCAAAATTGTTGCAAACAATTTGTTTATTTAAATTCAGCCCAAATAAATTGTTTACAACCATTTAACTAAAAAAAAAAAAACGTAAATCCAAAGAATCATCTGAGTTGTTTTTGTTCAGTGTTTTGTAAGTCCATACAGACAGTTTGTAAATGTCCTAATATAATAAATAAATCTATCAAAACTTAATTTTGATTAGTAAAAAGCATTGCTAAGAACTTAATTTGCAAAACATTACAGGCGATTTTTCAAATATTTGAAACTCAGCCAAACATTTTCCTATAAAAACAATCCATACATCAATAAAAAGCTAATTTCAGCTTTCAGATTATGTATGAATTTCTTCACTTCTAAAACTAGACCCTAATGACTGATGTTGTGGTCCAGGGTCACATATGCTTATCTTTGGACTTGGACTTTCGTATTTTTGTGACTACACAACACTATCAACTTGAATCTATGGCTGTCAGGAGGTAGATTGATCAAGTGGTTTGAGGTCAGAAAATTTACAGTTTACAAGTTTGTTTTAAATACAAACTGTACAAGAACGCCTTACTAGATGGAATGGCATAATTACAGCATTACAGATGAACTGTGTGTCTCCACTTTCTTATATACTGAAAAAAAGTGTAGTCAAAATGTCCATTTTCTTGCATCGGTTAGGTCATATGAGTCTGCACAGTAATGACCATGAGCTGAAATCTCAGTATCAAACCATAATGATTGTCTTAAGGAAAAAGATCACGGTCTAAAACTTTGAAAATATACATCAAGCTTCATTCATTTACACCACGCGAAGTTCATGAGCTATACTGTTACCAGCCAGCAGAGAGCGCTGGAAATGTTTTGTTTCCACTTTTCAGGTACAATTGTTAGATGAGCTGCTTGAATAGGCTCATATTTGTGAATGATTGATGTTATATAATCATTAATCGACAACCAAAAGGTGAAACATGCCAAGACTGTCCACATATTGTGAAACTGTCTGAACAATCCTTCACTGTGTTTTATTCAAAAGGTGTTTCTGTCGTTCTGTGTGTTATTGGACCATTTCAAATCTGACGCATTCAGTAACATTAGTTACATAAAGCATCTGGACTGGTTTAAGGTTTGTCTGCACTGTGACTGTCTGCCTACTGTCTGTTTCAACTTGATGTTGTAAATAAAATACATTTTGGAATTTGTGTGTGGGTCATTCCACTAAATCAGCGCCTTTAAGAACTAGAATTGCTATAACAACAAATAAATGTGTATTAAAACACAACAATACTCTTCATTCTCTCATCAATATTAAATCAAATTCAAACCATTTGTTATTTTGAATCATTAAAGTTGTATTAATGATGATAAAAGTAGGTTTTTGGCCAGCCTTTCTGTTTGCAAACTGAACAAAAAAAAAGCATATTGTTTTAATTAATAATGTTAAGAAATGATTTTGGCTTAAGTATGTTTATATTCCGTTAAACAATACAAATAATTTGATCAATTTCCCCTGATTTTGCAAATGGTGTTACCTGTGAAATAATGGTACATTCCAGTGACATCACTTCCAGGAAGCTGCATTGTCTCTCAAGCAAGATATAATAGCTTAAAACACAAGTAAGTTCCTCTCCCTCTCCTAGACCATTTTATTTTTGACCATTTTATTTATTTATTTATTTATTTATTTATTTATTTATTTATTTATTTATTTATTTGACATGTACATCACAATTACATTGGACAACCAAATGCATTTGTTTAAGTGTTTTAGCAAACTTGCTAATTCTCAACACCTGTTCACAGGAGGCTTAAAATTGACGAAATGGAAATATTATAAAATTATACAGTACACAACATTACAATTCTTTACATAAAATTACTGCAGGCAAATTCATGAACTGATTCTCGATTTCATTTATTGTCAACTATGTTGTCATTTTAAAGAGTATAAAATGATGTAATTTAACTTAATATAATTAATATTTACAGAATAACATTTACATGTATTTCCTTTTAAAATGTGCAACATATTTAGTGACTAAACATATTAGCTTGCAATTAACCAATTTAATTGAAATGGTCAAATCTGTTACTGTTATTCTTGTTACCTTTTTGGATTCAGGATGCATTTGTACTTAAAGGGTCCAAATTGGTATACTCAAAAGTATTAGAACCTAAACATTTTAAGAGGAACATATTTATACTTTTTAGGTACTAATATGTACCCTTGAGGTATTAATATAGACATTGTAGGTACAAATGTGTACCTTTTTAAAAGCTACCACCCCAGTGACAGCTTGCATTCCTTTATTTCTGAGAGTGTACTATATTAGTATGGAAGGAACATTCCATTATTCATAGGGGTCTCTGGTTAAAAAAAAAAAGTAATAGCATTAAGATCTTAACAGTTATAGACAGATTTTTCAACATACAATAGAAAATTTATAAAAGCGCTATGTAAAAGGGCTTCTTGGGTTTGGTTGGAAGCCCCTAATTCACCGGGGCCCTAAACAGCTGCTTACCTTGCTTATTGGTTAAGTTAACCGCTGCCTATAATTATGTCAATACTATATGCAATTCTATAGAATACAAAAAAACATGTCTCATAGAATTATCTGTTGTGTGTTGTCATAGACCAGACTCATGGCCGAGAATTAGGTTTATTAAGTCTGTCCTCCCTGACTCATCATCCCTCTTATTAGCTTCAAGCAAATAAAATCTATCAGGAGGCATGCTTAGTGTAAATAAGATCACCATCATATTATTTAAACTTTGTTTTGTCAACTTGCAAAACTCACTATGTGCCGACACCTCCGCATAAAAGGCTGTTACGCTGGCCCATGTGTGGACCCATCTTTGAATGCCCATGTGTGGATACATTGTGGGCATACACGCTAATATATATATATATATATATATATATATATATATATATATATATATATATATATTAGCTTATATATATATATATTAGCGTAGGGCTAATATATTCAACTCAATTCAGCTTTATTTGTATAGCGCTTTTACAATGTAGAATGTGTCAAAGCAGCTTCACATAAATGGTCATAGTAACTGAAACAGTGTAGTTCAGTTTTTAGTGTTTAAGTTCAGTTCAGTTCAGCTCAGTTCAGTGTGATTTAAAATCATTACTGAGAGTTCAAACACTGAAGAGCAAATTCATCGATGCGTAGCAATATATATATATATATATTCCTCCCACCTCCCACCTGGGAGCCCATTTCCAACCAATATGAAAAAACATGCGTAGATATGAGACAATGAGTCAAAATTTACGTCTTCTGTTGTTTTGCATCAGTTATCAAAATGGAATTAAAGGTTCCTAGTGTTCATACTGTGATATTATTATATCTGTCATTAAAAAAGGTCAGATGCACTTTGTAATGGACTATTTTTGCATAGTGGAAGCATTAATAAAACAGCAGACCAGAATGAAAAAATAGCAGAAAGAATCACAGCATTTTTAACTACAAATAATATTAAAAACTTTATAAAACATCAAATTTTAACCACTGAAACCAGTACATTTGAATGTTTTTAGACATATTTTATTGTCTATTTTATTTATAGGATTTATTGGCTTTAACAAGCCACCAATAGTAGGCAACATATAACTAGTAAAAACCCACAGAACCTTATACTTGGGCTCGTCTGCGTGGGGTCCACCTGGGCTGGCCTGCGTGGGCCCCACCTGGGATGTCCCGCGTGGGGCCCATCTAGGATGGCCATATATTATTATTTATGATAATACTTTATATTTAAGTGCAGTAGTTTTCTTTGAACTTTTTAAGAACAGTGCCATTTTTAATTAACTTTTAAAATCACATTTTAATTTAAACATTGTCATTTTATTTATCTTTTTTTTTTTTACCTGTGTGTTAATGTTGAAATTATTTATTATGTTTAAAGTGTCTGACAATAATAAATATTCATAACAATAAGTTTTCATCTGTAGTTTTGTAGTAAGCTGTCGCTGCTTAATTGGGCCTACTATCTATTTCAATACCAGTCATTATGGTGGTACTTGGAGAGACAATTTTTTCTGAGGTGGTACTTGGTGAAAAAAGAAGAGAACCACTGCTATAAGCAAATTAATTGAACTGAATTGTTAACATGCTGACTTTTTAGCTTTGTGTAACTCTAAAGCAGGGGTGCCCAAACTTTTTGTATGAAGAGCAAAAAACAAATATCACTGAGAGCTGTGGGCCAAAGGTAAACACCAAATGAGATTCCGTTAAAGTTACCATAGGTAATTTCCTAATAATTTAAAATAAACAGAAAGCATTACTTTAAATCATATAAACTAATGTAGTATAACTTTTAATATATTAACTCATTGCAATAACATCATAAACAATCACATTTGGGGGCTGCACGGTGGTGCAGTAGCGCTGTCGCCTGACAGCAAGAAGGTTGCTGGTTTGAACACCGGCTGGGCCAGTTGACATTTATGTATGTTGGGAATTGGTATGTTCTTCCTGTGTTGGTGTGGGTTTCCTATGAGTGTTTTCCAGTGATGGGTTGCAATTGGAAGGGCATCCGCTGCGTAAAATATGCTGGATAAGTTGGCGGTTCATTCCGCTGTGGCGACCCCTTATTTATAAAGGGACTAAGCCATAAAGAAAATTTATAACAATTGTAACAAAGTGGAGTTCAATGCTGAATACACTAGTCAAGCAGAATCTGCCTTTGCCTTGATTTGCTCACCAAACTCTCTGAATTGTCGAATGACAATATACTGCCTGATTAATTTACACAATTTGATTGAAACATTCAATTCCAGTTGGATTTCAACAATAAAACAAACAAATTGTTACATTAGATTTAAATTGACTATCTCTAAACCATCCCCATCATTCTCCTTCTCGTCGATGGGATGGGTGGGCCAAACCAAAGGTTACCATGGGCCAACTATGACCTGCGGGCCCTAGTTTGGGCATCGTTGCTCTAGTTAAACCACAAACAAATTATTCTTCGGTCATTTACTCTCCCTTCACCTGGTCCAAACCTGTTTGAGTTTCTTCTCTTCTGTTAAACATAAAAGAAGATATTTTGAGGAAAGCTGGAAACCTGTAATCTTTGACTTTGGGACAACCACTGTGTTTGTTTTTCCTACTATGCAATTCAATGGTTACAGGTTTTCTTTCTTAGGATTTCTTTAAATTATCTTATTTTGTGAAAGACACTCGTGAAGGTTTAAAAACCACTTTGAGTAAATTGTGAGTAAATTACAGTTTTTAGGTGAACTTAAGTGTATTTTAATATCCTTTTTTGTGATAGTTTGTGGGATAGAACATTTAAATTATGCCATTATTTACTCATCCTTTTTACAAACTTGCAAGAATCTGAAAGAAACTTGTATCTTTAAAAGAAAGAAAAGCACAATATGTAAAAGCCCATCTCATAGCCCAGGGGTGTCCAAACTCAGTCCTGGAAAGTGGAAAGTTTAGTTCCAACCCCAATCAGACACACCTGAACCAGCTAATCAAGCTTTTATTAGGCTTTGTAGAAGCATTTTTGCAGGTAAATTGGAGCTTATAAATCTGCAGGACACCAGCCCTTAAGACTGAGTTTAGACACCCGTCACAGGTACACACACAGGCATGCACACACACACAACTTTTTTTTGGCTGCAGCAAGACCAACTGCAGTGTTTTGCCTTAAAACACATTTAAAACACGTTTTAGCTTCAAGCTGTAGCCCATTTTTGTTCACATCATTGTCGTTCCTGTTGTGATGACAGCAGCCGCTGGCTGATGCCGCGATTACCGTTCACCGCGGCGTCCGGCAGAGGGCGGTGTTAACGGGTACCACACAGCAACTGCCGCATCCCGGATGAGAGACGGAGGAAAACAGAAAGAGAGAGAAAGAGAGAGAGAGATAGAGGTGAGCACGAGAAAGATGCTTGGTTCAAAACACCGCGTCGGAGCGCTGCGTTCAGTCAGCGGGTCTGCTGTAGAGGAGAACGGGCGCTGAGGGCTGTAGGAGGGCACACTCTACCTGTCTTTCTCGAAGGTGAGTGTTTATGACCGGATTATGGTTTTTGTGACTTGTTATGGAAAAAAATATACACGTGCGAGGGTGCTCTGACGCGAATGGGTTTTTCCATGTTGTCCTGTTTTGCTTTTTGGCTGCATTAACTTCATTACGAGGATTAATGTGATGGTGATAGATGACGCTGAGAGGTTAAGTTTAATGGGATTGTTTCTTGTGCATTGACTTTTTAACGTGTAGGCTTTTATTTGTGTTAGCATATTATAGACACGTTTATAACCTTTATAGTTCAGTTTATATAGTTAAATTTTGCTGTAATATACTTGACACTTAGCATAGCACTTTCATATTCATTTCATAGACACACACAGATAGATAGATAGACAGACAGATAATTCCTAGTGAATTTCACAAGCGATTACAAAATGGAAAGTAACTGTAAAAAGTTTGAGAATATTAAGTACAACAACTTCATATCATTTCTGGTCTTATTGTTGTTTTTATGCATAATTTAATTTAGCTCTTCTGAACAGATAGATGGCTAGATAGATTAATCAGAGTCAGATTGGAAGTACAAAGTGAATTAGTGTTTTCTAGTAAAGCACTCTGCTAATCATTTTTTATAAATGTCAGTGTATATACAGTTAGATAGATCCAGAATGCACACTCAAAGGCAAACTTCTTCTGTCAAGTAAGATAAGGAAATGTAAACATCCTCCTAAAGCTCTAAACTCAAGACTTGCACACATACGCGCTTTCATATGATGAGATAAAGATGTAAACATCTCTCCAGTTCTGGTTTTTAAAGTAGCGCTTTTCTCTATGGGATATATCAAAATAACGGCAAAGCCTCGGGCACAGCATAGTACTGACTTACTTAGCCTGGAAATGAACTTGACGATTGCGCATCCTGCCAACAGCTCTTATAGCAATGAGTGGTTTTACAAAATGATGTTTTATTTACTGAAAAGCCATTTGTATGATATTTTGTGGTTGATTGAGCATGTTCACGGTTCTCTGATTCCTGTTGAGGTTACAGTATTGATGTGCTAAATATAGACATGTGCTGATATTCAATAATACATTATATAATGTGAAAATGAACATGCATGATCTAGTTGTTGGAGGCAACTAAAATAACTATAGTTCAGTTGTGTTTTTTTATCTAACAATAACAAAAAAACTTAATAAATTAATGCAACAAAGTATATGTTTTATCATATCAATACATTATTATAATAATGTTATTTGAATAGGTATTTTCATACATAAAATGCAACTTAAAATCCACGTGTAGTTGCTGAGATTGTTTAAATCATGTTGATGTACTTTCAACTGGAATGGAATATTAAGTAGGAGGCGGGGCTTTCTTTTGTGCATCATTACCTAAAATGCAAACTAGGAGAGGGTGTTATTATGCAGTTGCTATGGAAGCTCTCTTGTTGATGTCAACAGAAGGACTGCCACTCCAAAAGAGGAAGCAAATGGTTAGACTTTCATTAAAAATTACCAAAACAAACAGTTTTTTTTTCAGTGCATTAAAGTGCATGGTTTACTTATTCACCTTAAGAATAACAATTTGAGCTCGGAAAATAAACATTGTAATTTAAAATTTCCAGCAGGCTTTAAAGTGCTGCACACCCATAAAACAAATACAAAAAAATCAACAAAATAGAGTACAAAGTACGAGCAAAAAATAAGTACAAGCAAATATAAGCAAGTATATATTACAATAAGTTTAAAAACAAGAAAATATAAACACACTTGACAAAACATTATCTTCATACACCAACTTAAACCTGTTAGCCAGCACTCAATTTTGGGGATTTACACTTACCTAACTTTAAATAGTAACAGTTGACTCCAGTAAGCTACAAACACAAACTATATATCATTGAAAAGAAGACACTTTGAGCTTTACTGTGGTAAAAGGAGAAGCTACATGTTAAAAAATATAAAAAGTTATACATTATGAAGTCACGAGGAAAAAAATATTGTATTGTGTTCAATATTTGTTTTCTATATGCTTACACAGGAAAACATTAATGTAATGCCCTAGAAAAAATATGCTTTGAAAGCCAAGTGTCTCGTGAGTTTATATTTCAAATTTGATGAAGATAGCATGCAAAATTTGATTTCTGTAAAAAGTTTTCTGTTTCTGAGGCTATGTCGATGTCCTCTCGCTCACCGTCAGAGGCACTTTCTCAAAAATCATCTTCCCATACTAAAACATTTACATTAGCTGAATGATTTTGGATTCACAGTTCATGTGTCTTTGGAAAGAAGACACTCTGGGCTTTGTTATCCATCATCTAATGTTTAGAATGCTCAAAATGAAAAAAAAAAAAAGTTATAGATGCTTAAAAAGGTATGTCTTAGCATGCTTTTTAAAATATGAATACTAGTGGACTCTCTCAATTCATTTGAAAGTATTGACTAGTGATTACTTCAGATTTACTGTGTAATGTCCCAGTGGGCACCTTAATGTTAAAACAACATTAAAAAACATGTTAAATCAATTTGAAATCAATTGACTACCTTGACGTTAAAATGACATAAAATTGACATTTTACATTGGCATCAAAAAACACTACCAAATTCAAATACAGGACTGCCGTGTAACCCATTTTTGACCTGTTTTGACACCAACATAAGATCTCAATTTGATGTTGCTTTGACATCAAGCTATGTATTGGGATACAAAATCCAGTGTAAATTCGTAATCTGTAATTGAATTTTTCAAATGAATGAAACCTTCATTAAATTTGGTGGTCGTAAGGCCATCAATGTGTGGATGTCAAATGGACATTAAGATTTTGAAATCAAATCGATTTGCATTTTTGATGTGTTCTTTGATGCCAGTTTGACATCAAGGTGCCCACTGGGATGTGCTAAACTAGTGAAGAAGGACTTATGTGGTCAGAAATGGAAAACAGAAGTGTTTTATGACTTCTTCTAATTGCCAATAAGGATTATAAAGGCTTTGGCCTTGAACAGGAGTGAAATCCAGCTGCCACTCAATATAAGATGGACGAGAATCCATCTGAGATTTCCAGTCGTCCATTTAAACAGGACATCAGTGATTATTGACATATTAAGCTTCGAGTCCAGCCATAAAACGACTTGCGAACATGACCTGTCTGTTACCTCTGGAAAACTGCTCTGTCGGGACATTTTTCCTGCCATCAACTTCAATCCATCGCTCTTCCCCCCCAACAAATCCTCCAGTAACACAGCGGTGTTTCTATTCCCTGCCCTCCGGATGCGGATCATGGATTTAGAGTAGCTCTAGCCCACTGAGAACATTGCACTTTTTACACCGTACCTGTCCTAAATCCCTCCTCTCCCACAGAGAGGTCTTGTCAAGTGTCCTGTTCTCTGTCTTCATCTGGCAGCTCTTGCCCTGTTTTTTTCCTGAGTCGCCCCAGCGAGGGCTCTGATCTTTCATCTGGATTGATATCGCCTCCCCTAGTGCTGCAATTCGGGCTCCTTTTGCTGCTTTTCATTTATTTAGCACAGGCAAGCACCATTTGAGCTCAGCTTCTGTCACGCAAAGTGAGTCTGGAAGGCTGGCATCACATATTCAGGAAGGCTGGCATCACATATCGCTGTAGTGTTGATGGTTTGCCAGAGATTGATTTCTAAATGTCGTCGGGTGAGATGATGGTCATAACTGAGAGGAAGTAGGAGCTGAAGCATTTGCACTGGGAATGTGTTTGCTTCTGCTGTCATTGCTAGAATTCTAGTTTATAAAATAAAATCCTGTAGTCCATTTAAGTATTGAATATGCTGTTTTGTCATTTAACAGATTTTGTAGGCATACACTACAAATATGTTTGCTGCTTGTTCAAACTACTTATTTAAAATGAGCTGAAACAACACAGTTCTTAAGTTTTTTAGGGCCAAATTAATTATTTATGTTCGATCCACTTAAAATTGTAAAAACCATTGCTTTGAGACAAGATGAAGGGATTGTGTGGACCAGTGTAAAAGGTGCTGATTTGTTATTTATCTGATTTTTCAGGCATTGGAGGAGCTGACTTGTTATTTATCTGATTGTTCAGGCATTGGAGGTGCTGATTTGTTTGCCAAATTAGTGATTTATTGTTTTATTGTTTAGTGATTTAGTGATTTAGTGATTTTATTGTTTAAATAAAAAGGTTATTAAGATAAAATCGATAATTATTTATATTGCAAATGTGGCAGGTTTTTGTTTGTGTGTATTAATTTTTGTACAGTTAATGAGTGCCTTACCTATTGGTTTTTTTATTTATTTATATTTATACTAATCTTTCAAAAAATATCTGTAAATTAACAATTTTTCTTATTTTGTGATTCATGGGTTACTTCAGTTATTCAATTCATGTTTATTTCTCTAGTGCTTTTACAATGTAGATTGTGCAAAGGAGCTTAACAGACGTTCTAGTACATCAAACTCTTGTCAGTCCAGTTTGCAGAGTTGAGGTTCAGTTTAGTTTAGTTCTAGTTTAGTTTAGTTTCAGTGCTGAAAGTCTAAACACTGAAGAGCAAATCTATTGATGCGCAGCATTGGTCTCAAACCAAGCAAGCCAGTAGAGAGGACTTCACAAATTGATGAAACTAGGCACAACCATTTCTCCTCTAGCCAAACCTGCTGTGCAGAGCTGTAGTCTAGGTGCTGGAGGCTGGAGAACACTGGACGTCCATCGTGGAGAAGCTGCGGGTATGAGTAGGTCACCGGCGGGTGTTCAAGCTGGCCCATGGGATCAATGCGAAGACTCGTCTGTCACTGTGGTCTTTCAGGAATCTTTAGGAAGTTATATATGCTTTTAAATTAAATTCTTGATATATATTGGATCTTGATATTTTCTCAAACTCAATTTTGATGTTAGAAAGTTAGAAAAAGTGACTTTTATTATTGTAGTAATATATTGCCTATATATATATATATATTTATATATATATATATATATATATATATATATATATATATATATATATATATATATATTGCTTGTTTTTCTCATTTCTGAATCATTTAA